CCCTAATACCATGACACTGCCAGCTCTCCCTTTTCATATATAAACCAAATGAATCTAAATCAAACCAATCCCGGCATAATTAAAACTAATTACTTATTCTTCACAGTGGACAGTGTCAGTACATTACTTCGCACATTTTAGAGAGCTAGCAGCCTCCAGCAAATTCATCTGACGAAGTTCTAGATTAATGCTTTCTCCTGTTAAAAAATTGGTGGTGTTAAAATGACCGGAACGGCAACCTTCCCTTTTTTGAGTATATCAAATAAATAAATAAGCTCTGTTCTGAATATTGTTGGTTTAGGAAAACAAGTTTCTGCCAAGGCATCGAGCTTTGCTGCCAAAAAGTGGTGCGGTATTAAAGTAATTAGGCGTTGTTCTTTAACATCAGTATAAACAACTGTAATTTAGCCAGTTTTTTTTTTTTTTTTTTGGCCAGTAGCATAAACCACTATAACTGCAAACAAATGATGGGTGGGCTGGTTCTAAATAGAGTTATCAGTTTCAATGATCAATGTTTTAATGAGCTATTCGCTGTTTTTTTTTTTTTTTTTTTTTGCTTTCAGGTGCCATTGTTTACATTAAGAAGGATCTTGAGTTGCAATCAACTGTTGAAGGACTTGTGGTGGCCATGTCCCTCATTGGAGCAACATTGATTACAACATGCTCGGGTTCCATATCAGATTGGCTTGGTCGGCGTCCCATGTTGATAATATCATCTACATTTTACTTTTTCAGTGGTTTGGTGATGTTATGGTCTCCTAATGTGTATATATTATGCATAGCAAGGCTATTAGACGGATTTGGGATTGGTCTTGCTGTCACTCTTGTGCCAGTCTACATATCTGAGACTGCTCCTTCTGATATAAGGGGATCCTTAAATACACTTCCACAGTTCAGCGGTTCAGGAGGCATGTTTTTCTCATATTGTATGGTTTTTGGCATGTCATTGACAGCCTCTCCTAGCTGGAGATTGATGCTTGGGGTTCTTTCTATTCCCTCCCTCATTTATTTTGTATTAACAGTATTTTTCTTGCCTGAATCTCCTCGATGGCTAGTGAGTAAAGGAAAGATGCTTGAGGCCAAAAAAGTTCTCCAAAGATTACGGGGCAGGGAAGATGTTTCAGGTATTTTTTTACCTGTATATATGACCGTAGATGATTATGTATAGTTTTGGGAGAAGCTTACTTCATTTCGTAGAGTGTAAACTTGTACCTTGTAATCATTATTATGGCATTCAGTAATCATTTTGGATGATAGTCATTAGTCAGGAGGTGTTTAAATTTCTTCAAGATTTAATTTATATGTTTCTTTTAATTTATATTCCCCCCCCCTCTCACTTGATGATGCCAAATTAAATCACAACTTTATTTCCTGTGTCATGTTTGCTCCGCTTTTGAGGCCATAATTCTTATATTAGCTACTTGCTTATGATTGTTATGAAGTTATTGTTTTTTGTTTCTGAAATTGTGGGTTAATAATAAATGGGGATCCATTTTAAGGCTTTTGTCCCATTTTGACATGTAAGCAATCCAAGAAGTAAGACAGCATTTCTGCTTTTACTGAATCTATAAATTCACAACAAAGTGGCTCTTCTAATATGTGCGAGATTTCAGACATGAAGTAGATGAATGTGGTAAAGTTGCTGTAGAGTAAGGTAATCAATACAACTGCAAGACTGCATGTAATTTTATTTCTAATTTCGTGTAAGTTTTGGTAAAATCGAATATTATCTGCTGTAAATGCTTAATTTTCTGGAGTCCTCTGTGATTTGATTGCCTATCCAGTTCCTTTTTTCATGTATCCTCTTTACTTCTTTTTTAATTATAATAGTTTCTTAGAAGGATTTATCAGATCTTGCGTATCATAATTATTGGCAGGTGAGATGGCATTGCTGGTGGAAGGTCTTGGGGTTGGAGGTGAAACAAGCATAGAAGAGTATATTATTGGTCCTGCTGATGAAGTAGCTAATGGCCTGGAACCAACAATGGAGAAAGATAAAATCCGGTTATATGGATCTGAAGCAGGCCTCTCATGGGTTGCAAAACCTGTCATTGGAAACAGTTCTCTCGGATTAGCATCCCGTCAGGGAAGCCTTGTCAATCAAAGCATACCTCTCATGGACCCTCTAGTGACTCTTTTTGGCAGTGTGCATGAGAAGCTACCTGAGACAGGAAGCACACTTTTCCCAAATTTTGGAAGCATGTTCAGCACAGCTGGGCCTCAAATTAAAGATGAACAATGGGATGAAGAGAGCCTACAAAGAGAAGGTGAAGACTACACCTCAGATGCTGCTGCTGGGGATTCTGACGACAATTTGCATAGCCCTCTAATCTCACGTCAAACAACTAGTATGGAAAAGGAGATGCCTCCTCCTCCTTCCCATGGCAGCATCCTGAGCAACATGAGGCGTCACAGTAGTCTCATGCAAGGATCAAGTGAAGCAGTTGGTAGCACAGGCATTGGTGGTGGCTGGCAGCTCGCATGGAAATGGTCTGAGAGAGAAGGTGAAGATGGGAAAAAACAAGGAGGATTTAAGAGGATTTATTTGCACCAGGAGGGAGCTGCTGGATCTCAACGGGGATCCCTTGCATCAGTTCCTGGTGGGGATGCTCTTGGTGAAGGTGAATTTGTTCAGGCTGCTGCCTTGGTAAGTCAGCCTGCTCTTTACTCCAGGGAACTTCTTGATCAGCAACCAGTTGGGCCTGCTATGGTTCACCCATCTAAGACTGCTTCAGTGGGACCAATATGGAAAGCTCTGCTTGAACCAGGGGTTAAGCATGCATTGTTTGTTGGTATTGGAATTCAACTGCTTCAGCAGGTAATATGTGGTTTCAATAAATATGTGGTTATATTCCATAATCATGTTATTTGGAACTTGGAAGCCTGTTCAGGTTTGCATGATCATATTCTTCTCCAAATGAACCTTTGTTTTTTAAGTACACAGTATCTTTTCTACAGGTTTAGGCCATCCGATCACTGACTAAAATCACGTTCTAAATATATTATGCAGTTTTCAGGAATCAATGGGGTCCTATATTACACTCCCCAAATCCTTGAAGAGGCAGGTGTTGAAGTTCTTCTCGAAAATTTAGGCATTGGTTCGGAATCTGCATCATTTCTTATAAGTGCATTCACAACCCTGTTGATGCTTCCTTGTATAGGTTTAGCCATGAAGCTCGTGGATATAACAGGCAGAAGGTATTCTCTTATTTCCCTTCTGATCTGCCTTCTTATTTTTCTTGGAAATGCTACTGATAGAACCCAACCAAATTCTTACAGAACTAAGAGCAATGAGACCATTGATACAAGACTGAAGGAAATCTTTTTCCAACAGATTAGCATTAGCCTATTAGGAAGAGAGAGCCTGCAGACACATAAACCCCCTTAGGCATTTCATAACATTCAATATGGTACTCAATAGAAAGCATCCCATCGGAGTCCTACCTTTCACAACTGACATTATGGTGGTAGAGAAGATTCTCTCCCAAAAGACAAACTTGTGAGGAAGCTAGAATCTTTGAACTTATAAACCTATCTAGGCATCGCATATGCACGCCAAGGACTTGATAAAATCTAAATAGATAAATTAAAAAAAAAAAAAAAAAGTTTCTTGCGTGTTTATTGTATACTTGATTTGTGATTTGATGGGAATAAGTGACTCTTTGGTTGATGCAGGCAGTTACTTCTCTGTACAATTCCTGTGCTGATAGTGTCACTCATTATTTTGGTGATTGGAAACATGGTGGACTTTGGCACTGTGGTGCATGCAGTAATATCAACTGCATGCGTTGTAATATATTTCTGCTGCTTTGTGATGGCCTATGGACCAATTCCAAACATACTTTGCTCAGAGATTTTCCCTACACGGGTCCGTGGGCTCTGTATTGCCATATGTGCGTTGGTGTTCTGGATTGGAGACATCATTGTCACTTACACGCTGCCTGTAATGCTCAGTTCCATTGGACTCGCTGGTGTTTTTGGAACCTATGCTGTTGTGTGTTGTATCTCCTGGGTATTTGTGTTCTTGAAAGTTCCAGAAACCAAGGGAATGCCTCTTGAAGTCATCACTGAATTCTTTGCTGTGGGTGCGAGGCAAGCTGCTTCTTCCAAGAACGAGTGATACAACACTAGGTATTATATATACTTTCTGATGTTAGTTGCTAAGGCTAAAAATTTCTCTCTTTCGTCATATAATATTTTTGCTTGCCAGCAGCATCGCCCTAAATCTAATGGACAAGGTCAGACAATTTTTATGTATTATTCTTTCATATGTGATTTTGCATGAGATTAAAAAGAAAAAAAGTCCTGCCATCTTTATCCGAAAGATTCATTTCTTTTTTGGGCCTAATAGCCGAAAGACTTGAAACTCAGAAATGCAATTCCCCGCTATCATGGCGTTGAATTCACTAATAAAAAAATTATAACTAATACGCCATTCTAACTTTACTAAAATTATTGGTCGAAAAATATCAACGTAAGCATTGAGATTTTGAGACGGAAATTTATTTATTTATTTTTTTAAAAAACAAGAAGCGGCCATAGTCGATGGGTCAAAAGGTACACATTGATCAGATCAAAATAAACTTGCAAATCCAAAACGAAAATGAACCTGCAAAATCAATACTTTTAGCCTTTTTGATTGATCTAGTTTAGTTACCCGTGCTTGTTCTCTCTTATTCCTTGCACTCACGAAAGCCTTTTCGTACTTTGTAAAATTTCAAACAGTAATGGTGGCAGAGTCCAAGGAATTAATATCGACGAGTAAAAATGAAACTTTCTTGTCACAAAATAGAAGTTGAAATCATTTTAGCAAGTATAACATCAAGAATAATTTATGACACCGTGAGGCCGAGCTGAAATGATAAGAATATTCTTCCTTATGAACATGTTTGAGGACTTGTTCCAAGTGTCGGAGCGTAAAAAGATGTTCGTTCCCATAACTTGCCGACCACCGAAAAAGAATGCCATAAAGAATCATCAGAAAGCAATAAATCAAAGCATATTCGAAAATCAAAATCAATCTTTCATCATCTTTGCAACTAAGCATATTCCAAAACCTCTGCCCATGGTTGGTTTATTAACCAATATGTCAGTGGCGAGGATGCAATGGTTGCAGAAGTTGGAAGCCGAGTGCCCATACAGTTTCTTAAGTAACATAAGTTGCAATCCGCATAAAGTAAAAGATTTGACAACATGAAATCCATGGAATTACATTTAGTATCTACAGCTATCGCCTATACAATTCGCATTTCCTAAGGCTACCAGAACAACATCGCAAAATTTTGGAGCCAATTCAAATTCATATATGCTAAGTGGAGATTCACTACTTCACTCCAAGCAGCTTTCTATTAAAGGTTTCTGGCAGATGAGCGGTAAGGCAATTAAAGACCCGGCTTTTCCTCAAACGCTGATGAGCTCTCAACTTTATCTGGGTCACTCACCTGATTGTTAATGGAGGTCTTCTCTGCTTGGGCATTCGATTTCGCATGGGACTTCAATGTTCTCTCAAAATCTTGACCATCGGCAGGATCTATCATCAATCTGTTGAGTGTTTGTTCCTGCAAAATGGGCGGAAAGTTTTTCAGTTATACAACAATGTGGCAGAGAAGCACTTCAAGAAACAAGAAAAGTTAAAACATTTTAGACAAAAAGCCTGCCAATCTGCAGGCATCAAGTATGTTTGTCACGCAACCAAAATATAAATCGATCTGACATGTATAGACATATGATATGCTTAGTCTAAAAATAAATTCAAGAGAAAACTCCATACAAATAAATTAATGTTAAGAGAGAGAACGAAACCCAGACTAACTTCTTGGCAGACTAACAGAAGCCACCACCCTGACTTTATAATTCAAATTGATTTAAAGATTATGATTCAGTGAACTGCAGCCGCAAGTAGTTCTTAGTTCCAAGCACTTGAGAACTTATTTTTAAAAAGTTATAGCATGAGAAATATTGTTTAAGATATATGTATATATATAACACAAACACTGAATTGTCCATACAGGTTTCCTATTCACCAACCATCACCTTGGTATTTACTGGGAGGCATCTTGAAGTAAAGTCCCACGTACAAACTCTCACAGCAAAGACTCTATTTTCTTTTTGCCAACCTCACAGCAAAGACTCAAATACTCTAGTATTGATAATCCAAAATCAGGGAACCTACCTTTTGCTTGGTTCTCTAGTTATAGTCATGGGGTAACTAAAGCGAGCATTCAATACTGGTGGAATTGCCATTGGATGTTGAAAAATGAAAACCAAGTCTTAGTAGCCAGGTATCTAAACCCAGAAAACAACTATCCACAGATTACTCTGCATATTCAGAACCCACAACTTCATAGATATTTAAAACTATCTAGCTCCCCAAGACTGTGTCACACACTCATAAGTTAGTGAACGCGTACATTTTCTAGGGCTTCAAGCTTTCTGTGGAGGGCTTCGTGCTCGGCTTTAATACGTAAAGGAACTCCATGCTTCTGGTAGACGTTGTTTTGCGCCAAGTTCTCATCGATATCAGCAGCAGTAGTTGCAAAAGGATGATTAGCGGGAATCCACCTGATAGAATCAGGATCAGCATCGGGAGGTAGCGAGTCTCCTTCTTTAAGGAACATAGTAGGTCGCTTCCAGCGGTAGGCCCGTGATCTCCTTCTCTGGTGAATGGCTTGTTGCTCTTCAGTAAGAGTCACTGGGGCTAAGCGGTAAAGCTTTCCACAAATCTCCACGGTTGACTTGCTTTTGCTAACCTTTACTAAGGGGTTATTGAATGGGTCTTCATACTTGAGAGGCCTTGATCTGAATTAGTTTGATTTTCGAAGCATCCATTCAATAGAATTATAAAGGACAATGAATGTTTTAACAAGTTAGAAAGGTAAAAGGGTGATAGAATCATACATGCCTCTTGAATCGTATCTAAGTTGGCCACGTCTCACGAGATCAGCAACGGAACCAGGGCGCTTGTATCTTGATTTCCTCACTACAAACGCTCGGACGGCCGTCACCAGAACAACAACGGCAACACATAACAAAATCCAAAACTTGCTTGGAGTTGAATTCGTCTGTTCAAAAATGGAATTTGGTTGAGAAGCGCGTATTACCCCATATCAAGCAACAATTAATCAACACGAGGCGTAGCATTAGCATACCAGGAAGGGAGGGGGAGATCTAACAAGATGATGAATTTTGGCAAAGCAACAATCAGTTACATAATAATGCTGCTCCCTAGGCTCTGTGCGGGAAATCGCCGTTGCGTCCAAGGCTTTAGGTTTTAGCCAAAGGTGTCGTCGGCTTGTGTCGCATAATAAGGACGTCCCATTTCTCCGACGGAATTGGGGAATTCGACGGCCGAATGAGGAGCTGAAGACGAAGTTGTGAGTGTAGCTCTTAGCCTATGTTTGAATTGAAGCGAATGATAACACAAAAATGTCAAACTCTGGTAAACACGTACTGTATAAGTCTGAAAAATCAACGACTGGACCAGACTACTTACCTCGACAGAAATCCATTCAAACCTCAATCCCCAAATTGTTGCTGATCCCATTTCCAGGAGCTTGGGTCCACGAGGGTTCAGGTTCTCCTGAAGCCGTTTTCACGAAGCTGCTTTTTACCAAGTTTGCTGTGTTCTTCCAACTTAATCAATCGGTGAGTTCATGAAAATATTTTAAAATACGTAAATTGTCGTTTAAATATTTGAAAAGTTAATAACTGAAATGATGATAAAAAATTGTCAAAATTAAAAATTTTATATTATTTGATATTATTTTGAACTCTTAACTTATATTGAAATCAAATGATCGGAGATTCCGCATTCGGAAGATTTTTTTTTTAATATTTATAATGCACAAAACTTAATGAATAAATTGCAGTATTTGTAAGTCATGATTTATGAACAAAATGAATTGTTATCAATTTTATCTTATGTGTTGATATTAGTGATAATGATCATTGGTGTTATTTTTTTCTCTAATACCCCTTTGAACTAATTAATGCATAGATTCAATATGTGGTTATTTTTATTTTTGAAAAGTACAGGATATGATATGTTTAGGATATGTGTATGTGTATATTTATAAAAAAATTCACGAAACAAACTATATATATATATATATATTACATCTAATAATTTTGTTTTGGATATTATTTTTTTCATATTATAGAAGATTTTTGAAATAAAATAAAAATATACAAACTAATTTATAACCTAAAATGAAAATACTTGAAAGTAAATGGTAAAATTTAACAGTAAATAAATAAAATATTTATTTCTAGAAACATAAGAAATTTATTTTCTTAGGAATTTTAATCTTTTTTTAAAAAAAGAAGATTATGAAAAAATATTTAAAAAATAATAGGATAGTAAAATTCACTTTCTTAAAATATTATCTTAAATTATGCATTGAAGTATAAGTTTTAAAACATCAACTCTGAAAAGTATTGGATACCTACCAGAAGTTAAAAATATTTTTTTATTTAAAAAATTATATTCTAATACTTTATAGATATGTATGGAAGAAGTACGTAAAATAACTTGAAATATCAATATTTCATGGCTTGTTATAAGGTTTCGTCCTTGTTTAAGCGAGAGATTGAATAACTTCTTTAATGAGATCCTGCATTAAAATTTTATCAAAATTCACCTTCTTAATAAAGCCTCTCTTACGTTATCAATACAGTAACTCTTAAATCTTTTGTCGAGAAGTAGTGAAGGAGATGTCAGAGCCATAGTGAATAGTCATTGAAACCATGGTAAGTGAGGGAACAAATTATGATTGATGGTCGAGCCTTTAGTGCCAAGTGTTCAATCAAGCCCTTATATGACAACAATGTGATATAATAGCATGATTTGGTTTGCTTTCTCGACAATGACCGAGAGCATTAATTCCACAAATTCTGCTGACAGCATGTGGCAAGATATTCATCATCTAGTAGTATCCAAGAGCATTAATTCTATTATTCTATCAAGAGAATGTGATTGCATTGCTTTCGTAGCCATGGGAAAGGATATTGCCATGGAAGTTGCTTTGCATTGGTAGAAGGTAGTCTCAACATGGGATAGAATCTTTTATTATTTAATTCTATGACTGCGATGTTACATGTTTTATTTTGAGTTTGTAAAAGCTAGCAATACGTTTCTTATACTCTTATCTCAAGCTTTGTAAATGCAAATAACTTGAACTATTATTGATCATAATGATCATTAAATAGTAGGCTTTTGTTATTACTTGAGATGTTGTAGTGCTCATGAAGTGAGGCAACGTGTATTATTAAAGAGTCTGCATTTAGTATGAGATTTTTTCAAAAAGGCTGTGCTAGAGTTAGATTGCAAGACTCTAATTGATCAAATCGATAGTGAGTATCAACACTAGTATGGGCAGTATGGTTTTTATTGAAATCCTGAACATGCTGTAGCGAAATTGGGAAGTTAGGATACAATGTGTGGATAGAAAGCAAAATATCTTGTTCTGCTTTGTTTGATATTGCTCCTATGTGTTTACGGAGCTTAGTTTCCTTTGATAGTTTGGAATTTCAATCTTTTTGTGTGCAATTCTCTTTTGACTATTAGGGATCTGACATCTCTCTTCCCCCCCCCCAAAAAAAACTTATTGACCAGTGATGAAAATTTTATCCACCTAACAATTATGTTTAATCCACGATAAAACTACATTATCTTATATCACTCTCATCAATGCTAAAATTTAAACCAAATTAGATTAAGAAATGAGATATGAAAGTATAAACTACAAAAAAAAAAAAAACATAAGCACACTGATTTTGACAATCATTTGTAGTCTATCCAATTTAAATATTTTAAATAATTTAAATAAAATATTGTGTGACATTTTTAATTGATTCTATTTTTGTAACAAAATATGCATTTAATTTATTACATTTTTTCTCTTTATTATCATTAATATCAGAATTGATTTATATTTAACATTATATTTTTATTGAATAAACTATAAATGATAATGATATAGTGCACTTGATTTATTTAAATATTTTTCCAGCTACCAATGTCAAATGCATTTAATTAACTTGATCCATTAGTACTCCTACGGTAGCTGTTTAATGGTATCCTGGTGAAGGGACTTCCGTTTCCTGTCCCACATCGGGTTATTACGAGATAAAAGTGGAGAAATTTTAGTAAACCGAGCATCATACAAATAGCAGCTCTCCCAGCTCGACTTTCGGTGAGGACCTCTTATTTAAATTAGTTTATAAAATAACTCCACGCCTTAACACCGTGGATCCGTGGCGCAATGGTAGCGCGTCTGACTCCAGATCAGAAGGTTGCGTGTTCGATTCACGTCGGGTTCAATTCCCAGATTTACACGTTTTGCGCAGGAAAGAACGAATAGGAACGGGAAAAAAAGAACAAAAAAAATGCTTTTCTTTAACGTTATACTTCGTCCGTTTCTATTTATAAAAAAATTATAATTTTTTACTTGTTTTTTTTATGTAAGTAAAATTACCTATGAAATAAGCATTTATTATAAATTTTTTTAACTCACCTTTCATAATTTACATTAACAAAAAATAATTAATTCACACTTATATTAATTAATATATGACATTTTAGTTTATTTTTTTTATTTCAAACATAATGGCAATATCAATATCCAAATTAATTGAAATGATCAATCAAAGGATAATTAGTTAGGTAATCTTAACTACTTATATTTGGATTTTACACTTTCTTTGTGAAAAACATTAGCCTCCACTTTTATGTTATATATTGATTTGAATAGTTTAGATTTAACGTTTTTATAATTTTTATTATTTCATAATAAGAGTAACATGCTCACACAGCTAGATATGAGAATCACGTAAACATTAAAAAAAAAAAAAAAGAAACCCCAAAATTTCCCAACCATGAGTAATTTAAATTTTAACTTTTAATATGATTTTTATATATAATAACAATAACAACAAAATTTCACTTTATTTTTTGTGATAGTTTTATTTAATATTTTAATTGTAACGCATGCTCTTACTTTCCTCCTGGTCCGCCTTTTTGTTTTTCTTGGAAATGCCACTGATAAAATAGAGCCCCGCAATATTATTATTGAATTAAAAGCTATAATACGACCGTCACAGGCCCAGGCATCAAGGGACGACGCCTAGCCAATTAGAGAGGTAGAATATCTAAAACTTTTAGCCCATTCAAGTATCTCTTAACACCCAACGCGGGAATCAATGGAACCCCAACAAAGCCCTTCAGAACTGACATCAAGTCCAAACTTGTGTTACATGATGTGCTAAATATAACATTCTAAGCCAAGTACAACATTTTTCAAAATCGGGGAGTCGTAATCAAATCTCGTCAATAAACTCCAAAAGGTCATCAACCTCTTGCCTTAAAGCTGCAATTTTCTGCTGATGTGGCGCAATCCGATTCTCAATTTCCCGCCCCCCTAATTTTTTCTCATAGCAGTCTACAACAGTAGAGTGTTTCGCCATTAGCTTCTCTTGCAACTCCTTCTCTTTTGCAATTAGCTCCTCCACCTGCAAGCAAGACGATAAATAAGATACCCATGAATCAAGTGGGAAAGGATCTATAAATTAGAAAGTACTCCCAACAAAACCTTGGGTAATACATGAGCTGCTTGTGGAGAAGATTGCAAAAATGTCAACAGTGGCTTCAACTCTTTATATAACTCTTTCAGCAAGCTGTCCACTGATTTTCGAGTTGTTTTACAAGCTTGAATGTCTCCGGTCCTAGAAAGATCTCGTAGAGATGCTTCTAGCTTGTCATTTGTTGTCAAGCAACGGTTAATGATATTACACAGCTGCTGAATATTTGTTTGCACCTGAATGGAAAAACAAGAAGCCCAGAATATGAGCGCTATACTTAGCTTTAAAAACCAGATTCCCTATGGGACTGCAATTTAGTAATTTGATTACCTCCTCCCACTGGAGCTTTGCCAAATAAACAGGAGATGACTTGGAGATTGAAAAATCTACACGCATGTAGATAATGCAAGTAACAAATAGAAAGAAAATTCCAGTAATCAACATCAGAGGCTCCCTAAGCATAGAAAGACAGTTGAACTTGTAATAGACCTGCAAATATTTAATGAACATCTAATCATAGTCCAGTTGAAGTAGTAATCAACATCAGAGTCTGTACATCTAATCATAATGCATAAACACTAAACACAAAGTAACACTTATTTAGCAACCTAACCGTTGTTTTTTGGCTTTCAGACTGTAAGTATACTTGCAGCAATCAAGCTAAATGATAAAAAAAACCAACACATAATAACCATCTGCGACCAGCCCCAGATTTAATGTGGCCTGTTGGTAAATGACGTATATATTTTACTCCTTTATGTCTCTTTCTAATTATATTTGACTTCATTTAATTGCCTAAGCTGGTCGGGTTAATGTGTTAGGGTGGTTTAAGGATCAAAACGTAATTAGCACCTATATTGCTTTGGGGTAGTACAGTTGTGTATTTTCCATGTGCGTATTGCAGAGTAACCAATCCGCAACAGAGAGAAGGCTATGTATTCCCCGGCTCCCTGTTTTCAGACCAGTTTTTAGAATAGAAATTTATCTTTGGCTTTTGCGTCATCTGTCCATTTAATTAATTTAACACTAGTTCTTTTTATCTTCATCTAATAATTAAAATATAAGAAACTAAAATGATCAGAATTCAAAACTTTTTATCATGACATCCAAAATCAGAACCAGGCCAAAAAAAAAAAAAAGACATTCAAAATCTGGTAAGTTCTAACATCTTTCTTAAGGACAAAAATGACCCAGGTGTAGCATATTGATTAAATATGCATCCTGGGTATTTGACAGCTTGCGTGTACCAAGTCTATCACTTTAAGCTACCTGGAAAAGGTGCATCGGCAATTACCTGAAAATGAACATTATGCTCAGGCACAACATTGTTCTTCTCCAGCACAACAACAGGTCTACCAACAAGATCCAGGTGGGAAATTTTTGTCTGAAAGTAATCAAATAAAGGAGCTTAAAAACCAAACCACGAGAATGGGTAAATGATGACACAGCAGCATATATCATTCCGACAATACCTCCAGCCATTGTTTCACGGGAAAAGGAACAGATGCAGAAAATTCTCTGGAACCCTCAGGCAAAACAACCTGTAGTTAAAAATCACCACTCAGACCAATAATAATGATCCATGAGGTCAATATATCAATAATTCCGAGACTACATGCCACTGGAACAAACCAAAAGCAGTAAGTCATCCCAGGTCACTTCAAAATAAAAATCCAAATTAAGTACCAGGTATACACAGTACAAAGCTGACCCCACTTAGTGAAATAAGGCTTATGTTGTTTTTGTTGTTGTTGAATACACAGTACAAAGTTTAGAGAAAAACTTCTCAGTAGGAAAAGAAGAGGGGAAAAAAAAGGAAAATGGAATAAATAAAGATGCAGCTGATTGATTTGATTCACATTCATATCAGTAGACCAAGTTGAAATTTCATATACAAAAATCATTTTCTCCCTGCACTGTCTTCTTGCCAAGAAAATGTCCAAGTGAAATGTACTCTTCACTATAAGATCCCTTTTCAACACGAAAGATGAAATATAACATTAAAACAAATACATTGTCAAGATAAAATCATCTCATTTACCTTCACAAAGAGATTATCAATCACCACCTCTTTCATAGGTGAACCAAAAGTGATATTAAGGACATGTTTCCCATCCACTGCAAATAAGAAGTCCTCAAGTGGCAAGCCATATCCAATGGTAAAAGTAGTCTTCCAGCCACCAAACATTGGATATCTAGGTTCGATCTCAAGTTCCATCTATTTTTTTGGGCAAAGGTTAGCACAGGCATTTCAAAAAAGAACATAATCATTAAATTAGAAAATTCACCTTTTTTGAGTCACCCCATAAACTGGAAGTTGAAATGTTGCCAATTTCATCCCTGTAGTACACAGAATGAGCTCGTGGTGGCAACCTCGCAACGAGACGCCTAAACGCTGATGCACCTCTCACATAGGGCCGGGCTTGATAGTCAAGCCTATAGCAGAAATGATTAATTATTACATGTTCAGGTAACAAAACAACCAGCCAATTCAAAACCAAAGAAACAATTTAACCTGGAAAATTCTCCTTTGCTTTGAGCACCAGCATGAACAAGACTATAATGCTCCGTAACCTGTACGTTGCCCCAGTGGGAAATCTCAACTTCTCGGATTAACTCTTTGGCAACAGCAAAAGGATTACTCTCAAAATGTATGACTATTGGTAAGTATGAGAATGAAGGGAGATCCTCATAAGGTCCATATTTTATTTCAGAACCATGCATTTTCGTATTTTCTAGCTTCGTATAAGATTCTATTCTTGCATCAGGCAATTTAACACTGAGTGATTGGACCTTGACATCATATGGAGAAAGGTAGTGAGCGCTTTCTTGAAAAAGCACAAGCTGTATATCAGACTGAGTAATTTTCTCAGGAACTGGTAGCAAAGAGTGGGTAAAAACAGCCAACACCTCCAACAGTAAACTGTCACCTTTTCCAAGCCCCTTGGGTAACGATACAGAATAAACAGTCAAGGAAGGAGGAATTCCTTCAGGATGGACAACTTCAACAGGTAAATTTGCCCCAGAAGATGCTTTCCCTTTCCCTTTCCCTTTCCCTCCATTAATTGTCACTGTCAAGTATGCCAAGTGATTTGCCTGGCTATCAGGGAAGGTCAACAAAACCTCAGACACAGGATCAGATCCTGTATTCTCTGCCTGCAAAAAAAAAAAAAAATGAAAGAAAAACATAAGGTAAAATATAATAAAAATAAAATTTTAAAAAAAGGAAAAACAGATGGCAATGTGATATGGTAGAGGATAGAGAAGAGAGAAGAGAGGTAGGTAGAAGAGAAAAGGAGAGAAGCAGATGAGAGAAACTGAACAATACTCATATCGTTAGGGAACTAACATCACGCTACATCATTGGACATAGGGGATATATATACTGACTCTTAAGTACTAATGACAGTAAGTCAGTAACAGTAACTAATTAACGACTATACCCCTGTTTATAACTAACTCTTTATATTTATAATATTTACACATCACGATGTAAAATCAATTACATGTGGTAGGTGATGGCTCTCACAACAGCTTTTCTTTCAAGCTTCAATTTTGATTGAAGTCCATGTTTACGGATATAGGACGAGACACCAAATTTGTTTATTTGTCCAAGTTTCTGTCTATAGCTTACATTAAACTTCTTCCATAAGCTTAGCTAACATTCCTATGTGGCTTATTCTTAAGTTGCAGAAAACTTTATGAGAAACAACAATAAAGGTAAGTGACCATGTTTTCGGGGATAGGTATCAACAGTTTCCAGAAAATCTAAGTAAAATTCCAGAAGTTACACACATAAAAACAATAAATGTAATGCTATTACTGCACCTTTAGTGTTGTGGTGATCCGCACAATCTGTGAGGTCAAATCAATCTACAAAGTAACCAAAGAGAAAAATAGTCAGAGGCAGTCATCAACGATGATGATGAGCTTTAGAAATGCTAAAAGGTAACCAATGATTAAAAGGCAAGAAGGGATGGACATCTTGCACAGCAATTCTACCAGGACGTAGATTTAATTCTGAAAGGAAAAAATATCTAAAAGAGACCCCCTTCAATTCAAATGGATATAGCTCATTTCGTGTAATTTTTTTTTTTTAAATCAAGAATCTCGATGACAGCATCATTCATAAATGATCTCGAAAACGAAATTTAAATGCAACTACATAAGGATGTCTACTCTAAGAGGAGATAAGCATTGAAAAAGACTCACTGAATCAAATAGCTCATATAAAAGTGTACCATATACCTATGTTTTAGACTCCATCCTATCGTTACTTAATCCACAAAGATATGGAACAGAGGCAGAAATAAACAATGTTATAAGTGTAATCAAGCGGGATCGAACAAAATATATAAGAAGTAGCAACAGACAAAATCATTCATATTGATACTCATGCGTTGTGGCTCATAGCGAATTCAACTCGCGGATGCAACATCGAAATCTAGTTAGGTCAAGGAAAGCAAGAGGACAAAATTGAACAACATAAGAACCATAAACCCTAAAAAGGCAATGAGATCGAAATGATCGACAAGTGAGAATCACTTACGCGACGCTCAACTTTGGAGAGGATCAGCTCGGAAAGCACGGGCACGGAGAGAGCGGCCACTGCAAGGAGAAACAAAACAAACCTCGTATATCTGGTCATTGTCTTCGCAATAGCCTTGATCTGTTGCTTCCCCTCTCATTCACTTTGTCAGTGCTTCAAATCGCCTCAATGCCTACTATTAAATTACGCCCTATCACTCCGGTCTTCGGCACTCAAGAACTCAGGATTCAGGAATAGCAGACTTTTTTTTTTTTTTAATAAAAAAGAAACGTGTGTGTGTGTGTGTGTGTTAACCATCCTGAGATTATTGATTAAATGACAAAAATAAAATATCGATGAACAGAATTTGTTATTGTTCATTAGAAAAGCTACAAATAATAACCATAAATTAAATGACCCAAGATATCTTTAAATTCAATAATAATTAATAAAAATATCTGAAAGAACCTAATAAATTGTGCACTGCATTGTTTTTTTTTTTTTTGGGTCAAGAATGGTAGTTAAATATTAATCATTAATTTACATGAGTTGTTTTCATATACATAACATAAAAAATGAAATAATCAAGCCTTTTTAATCGCATAGAACGTCGTGGGGGACGGGAAATCACATGAAAACCAACATCAGATCCCATATTGGAAATCTTTAACGTCAGGGAAATACAATGATTTTTAGTAAAAAAGAATTTCTATTTTTTATGAAAGCCCATTTATATCGATATAGAGTACACTTTTTTTAAGAAAATTACCTGTGCAATATTTTTAATTTTTAATTTCTCTCACATTCTTATTAGATTTTGCAGACATTAATTTTTATTTCCAATATTTTTGCATGATTTTACCATAATTTAAATTTAAATATTAAAATAAGTTTTGAAATCGGGGAAAAGCCAGCAAAGACAATGGGGAAGATGAAGTTAAATTCATTTCAAATTATCTATATTCACAAAAATAAATGTCAAAAATGTATTGAGAAACAGGGGAAAAAAATTTGATGAGTGTAATTATATATAATGTGTTTATAAACCTATATGCAAGCTGCCATATTCTATCGTGTCACTTTCTTTTGAAGTACATGAATAGAGAAAATTTAGTTGTTTGGAGAGCTGAGTCAGCAACGGTATTAGAGATCCACGGGGGTAACAATAGTGGCAGATTCTTGTTGATCTTGACGATGTTGTTGTTGTTGTTGATGTAATTGTTGTTGTTCATCTGTGGTTTGCATGAGTGGCGTCTCTCCTTGAGGAGGACTAGCTCCCAAAGTTTGAGTCGCGGTTCTGCCTTTGGAATTTTTCTTTTTCATCTGAGCATTTTGGTGCCATTTCTTGATGGCCTTTGATGTTTGTTCATCAAATATTGATTTCTTCATTGTGGATCCCATTTGTGTCACTAGTGCATACAATGGCAGTGTCACGTAGCTGCACACAACTTGAGCTGCTATTCTGCAACACAAATATTGTTACATGCCCGAGTTTCTCATTATTATTAATTTCTTTTCTTTTATTCGTTTTTATGTGAGTTTATAATGATTTCCATATCACTTACCCGAACGCAATTCTGACCACAAGAAGGCGCATATCCTCATGAAAGCATGAACTCAATCCAAACTCATACTGCACCGCAAACAAAACTCTATTTTAAGCGTAGCATACATGTCTTACCAAATTTGGATCCTTTAGAATATGATCGTTGTACAGTATTTTTGAAATGAGAATGATAAATAAAACAAGGGTTAATGTGCAAAAATATTCAAAAACTTTCTCTTTAGAAGCTTCTCGTATCTTTGAATCAATAATTTTGCATGGATGCCTATTAATTTTATAAAAGAGATTAATCTTTTCAAATCCATTAAGTTGTATCCTTAAAATTTAGAAGCCAACAACAGGTTATTTTAATAAATTAGGGAAAGTCAACCTCAATGGGTGCACATTCACCATTGTTAACTTAAAGATATCATAAACTACTGATAAAAAAATTTTGGTATATTTTTGCACCTTAACCCATGAAATAACAATGAGGAGATGAGTGATGGGATGAAAAAGGAATCTTCTATATGCATGCACACTTTCATTCAAACTCACATCTCTTTTATTAATAGGGGGATTAGATCATTAGATTGCTCCTGTTCCTGCTTGAGAGAGAGAGAGAGAGAGAGGATGGGCCACATACACACATATAGTAATATATTTGACGAGCAGATCTGACCTCACCTCATTTTGCTTCTGATATTATGGGAGGTTTCTCTCCAGGTGATCCAGATGACCAGATGTTCAAGTGAAGAGAGAGAGAGATCTTAAAGAAACCACCAAAACCTTTTTCTCCTTTTCTTTTCACTTGGATTTTTCTACACCTTGAGAAAATCTAGATTGCTTATATTGCTAGAGAGGTTTCTCTTTAAGTGGTCCAAGTGAAGAAAAGAAAGAAAGAGAACATGTGGACCCTAGAGATTTCTCTCGAGAGCCTCCGAAGTGTAGAGAGGTCTTCTCTTGTGTTTTTCACCTTTTCATTTCATCTCCTCATTGCTTACAAAAATCCAGATTATTTTCATTTCGTGTCTTTTTAATTTGTAGACGCTTGATAAAAGTGGCACTGACGTTGATGTATACAACTATACGTTGTATGAACTCCCCAGGTCCTAAATGTCAAAGTCAGTTGAGTAGTTTGGTTTGATCCTAAATATAAGACCTTAATCTCCTTTCTCTCTCATATTTATTATTTTTCTCCCAAACTGCTTCTATTGATTGTATGCAATCAATAACTTCCAATATAAATGATCAAAAGCGGGGATATTTCAAAGAAATTAAATCTCGTTTTCTTATAAATAACTAACTAAACTAATTTTTTAAATCTATTTGAATTAGTTATCTAACTCCTACATTTAACACTGGGGGGACTACAACTTTGAGCAATAGACGACAAGAGTGAGAAAAAGTTGATTACCCATATCCAAAGCACATATGTTAGCTCGAACGCGTTCTGGAGATAAAAAACCAAATGGCATATATGCATTAGCATATCAGTCATCAGAAAACACACAAGTTACTAAGAAAGTAATAAATACCTGAAAGAGAACATAATGGATGAGATAAAGAATTAATGGAGGCCATTCAAACCAAAAATGTTTGTCAGAGACTTGCACTAAGGGCATCCCCTGAACCACAGCATGTCTTTCTTGTATGTCAAGGGCCATTCGAGTTATAATTGCTTGAAGCTTTGTTCCAACCGTCAAAATCACCTTCAAGTAATTATGTCATTAATCACTCTGCTCTACTGTGAAATCATGCAGCAGATAGGGTGTTGAACAAACATACTTACTATTAGTGGAAGAAAAGACACCCAGAAAGAAGCATGCCACCCTGAAAAGTTGTTACCATAGCAATCATGTACTCACTGGTAAATTTGAATGCCTTTGTAATGTAGACCCCATTGATATAGATAAAGTTAATAAGGACAAACCGTGGACATTCACAAGCAAGTAGAGCACCACGGACGCCCAAAGTATTGGACTGTCATAATAAAAAATACAAGCAATGATTAGAAGAAACTTCAATTACAGTGATGAGTTAATTTGTGTATGTGGCAAGAAATTGCCTGATTCCCACGACTACTTTAAAGTCGTCCTCTAGTGATCTCTTGATATAATTTTGAAAGTCAAACTTGCTTCCGGGTGTTAGATGCACCTATAAAAGAATCAATATGCAGAATTTGTAAATAAAACAAGACAACATGATTGTGATAATTAAACTGATATATATCTGCAAGAGAAATGAGTGAAACTGAAAATCACTAACAGTCACAAATCCATGTCGCATTGTCAAGTAATCAGCCTTTCGAACAGATCTGAAAAATTGTCGAAAGAAGCATACCTATACAACAAATTGATGAATTATCTCCAGTTGTACCACAATGATGATCAATCTATATCTTACAAGTCTGATTGGAAATAGGTGCTTACAAAATAGAAGGAAATGGGTGTTTTAGTCCAGAAGCTGTTATGATCCCTGACGAATGATACCTCGTGGGTAAGTCTGAATCTATTAGGATCTGAACGCCCAATTCCAATTAGTTTATTTGCGTAGAGATTGTAAAAGTAATATTTGAAGGTGAAGATTTGTACCATTCATGGCTTCTTGTTCTCTCATATGGTCTCGTTCCCATTCCTTCCAACCACGAATCTAGCAAAATAAAGGCATGATTGCAATACAAGTACTAACGAAAAAAGTGCTGGTTTAAGAGGAGATGAAGAACATAGAAACCTTTAATCTTCCAAGGGTCATGGTTATTGCACTATAAAACACATGGAAAACAGCCAAGAAGAAGATGAAGATGTGTAGCTGATGTAAGCCATTGACGGATATGAGAGGGATGTGCCCCTATTAGAATGCAAATTAAAAATCAAGAGGTTAAATTCATCAAATGGTTGAGCCTGATTGAGTTGACAAAAGAATGACAAGAAAAATCATGTGATTATTAATTACCGGTTTGCAGGAGGCTGCACTGTCACCGCCGGATAGAAACCTACGTTCATAGGATAACAACCTGCGATGATGCTCAGCCGCTGCTGTCGCCACAGCCGCCGCACCACCACCATGATCTTCACCACCACCATGACCTTCACCGCCACCTTCAACACTCTCTTCTTGACCACCCTCTTCATGACCGCCCTCACCACCCACAGCTTCAGTGGACCTTATCCGACAGGGCAGCATTGTATTTCCATACTTAGTCGGAATACAAATGTTAGCAATGTAGCTTTGTCCAAACGTCAACAGTAAAGAAATAAATCCCAAAACCATCAATTCTGCAATCAAGTACGTACATAGAATTACAAGGTAGTTTAGGAACAAAAAAAAAGTAAATAACAAAACATGCAATTCATATTCTCAATGGCAAATATACCAGCTTTGATTTTTTCTAAGGCTTCTAGCAAACCTGCCTTTTTCTTATGTTCAAGCACCTGAAATACAAGAAAATAAATGAGGAACGTGAAGGCGAGAAAGAATGAAACGTACAAAACAAGATCGTGAGATACAAAAGAAACACGTACGTGAGCAAATTTATGTATAACTTTCTCCAGGATAATAGAAATGAGGACGATAATTGCGCAGACTAAAGAGACAGCCCATGTCGGCGTCTGATCTAACTGCCTCGCGGAACCCCCTTCTTCGCCTCCTGACATTTAGAATGCTTGCAAGACGTTTCGTTGAGATTCAGGAAATCATTAAGGATGCTGCCTTCATCATACACTCTGGGGAACGTCAAGAACAGCTTTCGACATCAATCCTTTTCTTTTCCCTTTTCCCATTTCCATTCTAACGACATTCATTCAACCCAAAAATGAACGGCGAGGAACAACTGACGCTCCTGTTTCCATTTCACCCCCTTCTTTCGATGACTAATCTCCCCCATGCAATGCGTTATTTTTATTAATCATCCCCCACTCCACTCCACTAACAGTCGTCCATCATTTGGGATACCATTGTTAATTATTAATTACGCTTCCCATTTGATTATGTAGGATTCTACCCTCCATATAAAAATTTTCCCACCCTCTGTCTTGGAGTCGGCTTCTCTCCTTTGAGAGAAGCCTCCTCTGCCTAAAAGGAGAGAAGTCTCCTCTGTCTCTCCTGTGAGGCAGAGAAAAATTTAAACCGTACAGGTTTAATTTTTTATTTTTATTTTTTATTTATATTTTTAAATTAAAAAATGTATAAAATTTAAAAAAAAATTAATAAATATACTAATCAATCTGAAAAGTTCATATTTAATATATAATATAGATGCTTTAAATTTAATATAAAAAATTTAAATTAACTTTTCAGATATATTCTGGACAGTGTAAATATATTCTGAACAGAACAGTAAATTAATTAAAAAATTGTAAGATTAATTTTAGATCATTTATATTAAATTTAAACTGTCAGATTAATAAATATATTTATTAAAATTTTTATACATTTTTAATTTAAAAATATAAATAAAAAATAAAAATAAAAAAATTAAATCTAAATCTGAACGGTCCAGATTTTCCTTTACCTCAAAGGAGAGGCAGAGGAGGCTTCTCTCAAAGGAGAGAAGCCAACTCCCTCTGTCTTCGGCTTACAGGATCACCTCCAAGTCCCACTGTTTTAAGACCCGGATGATCGAACCATGATCTAAAGGTGACTCATTTTTTAATATATATATATATATATATATTATTTTTTTATTTAATTATTATATTATCGGTTCAACTGCCGTTATAACAGGTTGAATTATGAGACCCATAACTTATCGATTATTTTAATTCATTGTTCGGATGTGTGGGCCTTGGCTATTTAAAGGTTTAGAGATCTCCCTCTCTTTCTCTCATTACTTGAACCCTCTTCCACTTGGAGGGTGTCATCCTTCTTAGACTGTAAGGAAATATGAAAAAATGGATCATATATATCTGCTCATGGGCTATAGGCCAATAGCATGCCTCAATAAATTATATATGAGATTTCAATCTTAGTTATATCCTCCATGAGCTTCACTCTAATCCTTCTCTGATTTAATTGTTCTAAATTTTTTTATATTATTGATATTGATAATTTTTCTTTGAATTTTATTAAAAGTATATGAATTCTTTCTTATCATCAAAACAGGCACACAACTCTCTTAAAAAAATTGAATTTTACTTTTTTCTTTTATGATAATGTCATCCACTAATCTAAATACATATGTGGGGTTAATATAATAAAAAAAAATTCTTTTTTGCCAATTTTTTTTAAATTTGCTTTATTATGTCAGCAAAATTTAGATTCTTGACCTTAACTCACCCCCCATCTCACCCCACCATTATTATTGAACCTAATCCCGTGATAAGTTTTTTTAACCTTTATTTGCACCAATTTGAGAAGAAAGTTCACACCCTTTTTTATGTTTATTTGTGCAAGAACAAAAGCTACACTTGTTCACTTATAAATATATTTTATAATTTATATTGTTGATAAATTCATAGATATTTATAAATTTTAATGATAGGCAAATGAAGATGCAGGTACCATTGGCAGTGACGGAGTAACAGCCGGCAGCCCAACACTTGTAATCTAGTTTTTGCGGTGCGTGTCTGAGACTGTAATTTTACATGCCCTGTACCTATTTCTGTATAAGCTTTGAATTATCAAGGCTGGATTACTGGCTCGCATCACGAATCACATGAAACTTAACCCTTTTTTGCATTTTCATTTTCATTCTTTTCTTCCGGTCAAGAACTTAACCCTTTTATGGATAGATGAAATAATGAGATAGTTGTGTCCAATCAATTTATATTTATAAAGGTTGTCTACCACCAGTCACTTTCCACAATCACATGCTTCCTTTGTCCAAAAAGTTTGTTTTATGGCTAACGCTCACACAACATATTTACTCAAATGTTCCGTCCATAATGACAAATCTCGCGTCCAACAACAGGTTGCCTAGTGATGTTTTATTTATTTATTTTGTTAGAGCAAGGTTACATTTCTTGACCTTCGGTCCAATCATTTTACTTTACGAAGTTAGTGTTACCAATTGTTTGGAGTTTCAGACCAAAAAAAAAATTGTTGGGATTTTTAAAAACTGAAATTTCTACAAATTAGAGTTTATAAATTGAAATCGAGATAAAAATCTGTAATTTTTTTAATATTCTTTTTAAAAAGTTAGTTTAGTGCATCCTAAATTGATCTTTCCTTTTCATTGGTTACCAATCATCAACATCACCCAAAATTAAAGAATACACAGCAAATTTCTTTATGCTTTAAGTAAGACTGTCATCTACACAAGGGAAGAGAGAGAACGTTTCTTAGACCTCATGATCAAACCCATTCAGATCAGATGGTTGACATCTAAGCATATCATTACATTACATGATATAACCTTTGAAATTGAATATATTAACATCTCAAGGAATAAGAAAAAGAGAGTCAGCAATGGAGATATTTGGAATTCTTGTTTCAGCTGGCGTGTACTGCTGTCTTGAACAAAACAGGCGTAAGTAGTTGTTCAAACATATAAACACTTGCAATGCCTTGAGTGTGGGATTTGTAAGGAAATAGCCAAGGTCAATGATTGAAATTGAATTGAGCCTAGGTTCTATTTGATGTAATCAGGTTATACCTGCTTGTTTTATAGTCAAATATTGAGTTGAGCAGTTGTCTGACTTCTGTGTGTTTGTAACCTCTTGAGCTGCCTCCCTAGTTCATCTTCTTCTGATGATCTTTGGGCTTCACCCCTCTTTCCACTGCTGTTATTGGATCGTTCTTCCTTCTCGTCAATCAGTGAAATAAATCTTCGCAGATGTCCAGAAATTGAGCTTCCATTGGAAGCAGCCGGTTGGGCAGGAGTGGAATGGCGTAACTGAAGCATAATCTGCAAAAAATAGATACAAAGAGCAACAACGCATGCAATCCCACATATAAGAAAGAGACCCCAGAAGCTTTTAAACCGAAGCCGATCTGAATCAATTTCAGTATCTTCTGCGCTGCAGCCTCTTCCTACGAGCCACTTATCATAAATCCGCTGCAGTTCACCATTTTCAGAAAGTTGTAGAATTGCAGTTGACAAGTCAACGGCCAGAGGGGAGTCCCGTGGGAATGCCTACAAACACGAGACAACACCAATCATTAGATGCTTCGCCACATTAGACATCAAATTCATTAAAATGAAACAAACCCCGACATAGAAGATATCTATATACATATATAGAGTCAGTTGAGAATGCTGATGATGTCATGTTTACTATCAGCCCGGTCATTAAAGACCTTTGAAAATCATAGAGTGTAAGTACAGGTGCCTGTAACAAATTGTAATTTTCATGATGATTTGTGAGTGAAATCATTAATAGCTCTGGATTATTAGTCAGATGCATACCTTGCCATGTACTAATGAAAAAAATAGAAAATCCAAAGATAGTACAACAAGGGAGCATGAATATGGTTTACATGTTTTGTCTAAAAAGGTAGATACTCACAAATCCCCAGCCACTTCTGGTGAACTCCTGACCTACTATCCTGAAGCTGCATTGGGTTGATAAGAAAATTTCAACATAGGGTCGTTCGTCAACAATAGCAGCAACACCTCCTTTGTCAGGACCAAGTTGGAGAGCCTTGGCATATTCTTCAGGAGATCCAAGGGCAACAAGCCTGGATTTGGATATTCCAATATCATCAGCCAAATAATGTTCTGCGAATGAACCCACTTGATACCCAATAGGTTCATCACCAGCTTTTAAGCTATCTATTCCGTTGATATGAGAAGATAGTTGCTGCACTGTGAGGATTGATGTCAAACTCGCTGTGTAGCTGGAATTGATTATCAAAACCACAAACAGCCAGATGATTACCACCATGCGACCAAGAGTACTCATAGTATTCTCTCCTACAGAAGAAATGGAGAAAAATTCAGAAAAACTGATCCACTAGGCCCTTCCATGAAAGAAAGTAACTAGACCATCACTTACTGTGGGCAAAGAAAAGAGTTGACAAGCTAAACCTGCAGATGCATCAGAAAACAAATTAGATTGACCAGTTCAAGCCTGTAAGATGATGAATCAACAATCATTTCTGCAATCCCCTCATACGACACATCAGTTAATTCTGACCGTCAATTGCCTGGCAACAAGAATATTACATCCTTGCATTTTTATTCAGAAGCTTAATGCCATGACAATCCCTTAAGTGCTGCCTGTATGATTTACATGAACCGACTGAAGCTATACCTATTATAGTCTTCATTCACAGCGTATTTATATAAAAACTTATGGCTACATCAAGCTAAACACACAAGTAAGATTACATCATGAAGAACTGACCATAAAATTGTGATAATTTGCTGTCTAGGTGGACCCCTGAACTCGTCATTTATTCTATGCTCCAGAATCCATACAACTATCCCAATGAAAAAGAAGAAAGAAGCAGTGACAATCCACATTAAAGGAGTAAATGGCCGCAGAAAAGACCATCCACCAGAGTTTGTTTTCTTAAAAGGTGCCACCACGACAAGTCCAGATTCAATATATGGCTGTGTAAAATCTACAGCCTTTGTCCGGTTTGTGACAATGGCAATGTCACCAACAGCACCATCAAAGTACTGTACGAAGAAAATGAAAGAATTAACCAGTTGAATAAAATACGCATAAAAATTTAGCACAAGGAATCAAAGTTTTGATGCAGTAAATCAACTTACCCCTGTGGTGATCAACCTAACAAGTTCATCGTAGTTTGGGTTTTTATGGCCATCTCCAAATGGGACAAAGCGATATGGAACAGCATACGGTAACAAGCCTGCAGCTGCTGTGAATATATCAATGCAGAAACCTTTAAACATATCAGTTCCTTGAACGGGTGATACAAATTCACGGTAACTGAATCGGACTGGCACGCCAATTCTCAGTTGTTTTCCATTATTTGGAAAAACCCATCCACGGGGTTTT